CAGGAGCGGCTTATCTGTCAAATCAAGATGGTGACGAAGGTGATGTTCCTGTATATTCCACTGCCCATGTTCTGGGCCTTGTTTGACCAGCAGGTAACGTGAGACTCTGCTTCTGCGTGTCCTCATTTAGCAAACAGGCACCGGGACCGCCCAGCCGGGCTTAGTGTTTAGCTCCTAAGAAGTTCCCTTTAGTTTCTTTCTTATAGTTCACTTATTTAATTGTTAGAGCACATTGAGTTTGTTTGCCCCCCCCAAAAAATTCTAGATGTTTCTATCTACATTTCTTTTGCAAAGCAATGAAGGAGATGAGAAGGAGATCTGATGTGCTCAGGTTAAATGGCCTTGGGAAAGATTTCCTCACAGCCTCCAGGACTCCCGCTATCAAAACTGAGAGTAAACAGCTTGTTCCCCTCTGAGGCAGGAGGGTAAAAGGCCGCATTGCCTTCGTGGGGTCCACAGCTTGTTTAAGCTGACAGGGCCTCAGTATCTTCCACTCTCAATTGCAAGCCTGGGCTACAAGTGTCCAGGGACGGGAAGTGACTCCACCAAAGTCACCCCTCTCTGAGCAGAACTGGAACCGGCTGGCCGACTTCCTGAGCTCTTTCTACCACAGCCTTAAGACACGTGCCCAGGGCGTTTTCCCGACGGGGTCAGACGATTCAACGCACGGTGCCTATAGTCAAAGCAATCAGATATTGTTTCTTTTAGAAACTGGAATTTTAGAAAAATTATGAACATGTGGTTTTATTGTGCAGGGAGGGTTTTTGCAAAGGTAAAACATTTCTTGAAAGAATTTGAGCCTGCATGTTAGTCTGTAGGTATGAAATTTAGACCAGTGTGGCCCAGACCAGGGAGGCTGTCAGGAACGCTCAGACCCTCTAGGGCAGGAGCTGGTACTGGAGTCACTATAAACACGCCCGTCACCTAGCAGCTGTGGGGCATGATACAGTCTTGACTGTTCTGAAAGGCTTGTGGGAACCCACCTGAGGTGTATGAGGATGCAATTGTGGCAGTCTATACAGTTCTCAGTGACAGGCTGATGTTAAGAACTCAAGCAGACATGGGTTTCCTGACTTTCTATGATGTCCTCATAGGGCAGTTGATTGGTTCATAGTGAAACATTTGCATGTTTACTCTGCCATGGAATAATCATACATACTTGTACAGTCCTGGATCATCTTTTACTACCGATGGGTTGCCTAAAACTGGGGTGCACTGGTTTAAACCCTCACTCATAATGGAGATTTAGCGTTAGCCTTCACAGGCTAGTGGACATAGCTGCTGTCACCTTGCAGTGGATGTCATGTTTTCCAACAAGCCCCAGAATGCATTCACATATGTATTTCATAAGGACAGCTGCATCTCAGAGTGGTACTCTGTGCATCTCCGCGAGGGGGCAGAATACTGTATGCTGTGCTCACTGTGTGGCATAAACGCAACCTGTTTCTTTTACCTCGTGTTAAAATAGAGCTGGGAGGCTCACTTGATGTTTAAGGCCATTTTAAATCCCATAACATTTCAGACCTTGTTACTGATTTGGAAAACACTGGACATTGACTTGTAATATTTTTAAAACCCACATTCCCAAATGGTGTGGTAAACCTGTTCATTTTCAAGGGCTCCCGATGGACGCTGCAAGCAACAACTATGAACGGGAAAATGGTAAGTTTGGGCTGCCAAGACTTGGACCTTCTCGGTTCCCTTCTCTTTCTCTTTCATGTCATTTTTCAGTGAGATGTTTTCCCCTCTTTTTAGGGAGCTATTGAAATTCAGCCGGATCAGATGCAGGTAGGAGAAAATACTTAAGTTGCTTTCAGAGATCAAAGCCGTCTTTAATCAGCATTAAAGATGAGACAACAGTAACACCTCACCTCCACTTCCTCTGCAGACCGTGAATGCTATTTTGATTGTTATCATGGTCCCCATCTTCGATGGCGTGCTATATCCTCTGATTGCAAAGTGTGGTCTCAACTTCACGTAGGTGACTGGTTGGCGGGGTTGGTTGAGGCTCTGTGGGTCCCAGAGCTTTGTAACCTCCTGCACTCCCTGCCCAGGGTCTCAGCAGAGGGACACCTGCTGCCCCTCCTACAGTTGCACCTTGGGGACGAGGTTTGGGGGAGGAATTAAACGCGTGTGTGTGCACCTAGGTTTCTGAAAACTTACTCTAACATAAAAGTGTTGTTAATGGAAGCCTGAAACATCCTCTGACTAAAGCTCACCTAGGTATGTAGATAAGAGAAATGTTAATTGTAATCCACAGTGTCACCTGAACTTTAGCCTCCAGAAATTAAGAGAAACCTGCTAACGAGGAGGCACATTCTGTTTATCCTCCTTAATCTTGCTCATGAACAGCAGAGAAGAGGCACCGCGTGTGCTTCTGTGGGGAAGTTAGTTTTGTTTGGGGGCTGGTGGAGGTGTTTCCTTTGGGGGCTTAGCTCTTGAGTATGAGACTGGCTGGGGTCACTCTCTTCTTCTCCTGACCAGCTCCTTAAAGAGGATGACAACTGGAATGTTCCTGGCTGCCATGGCCTTTGTGGTGGCTTCAGTCGTCCAGATGGAAATTGATGTGAGTTGTCCTCTGATTCTCCAGTGTCCTTTCCTGGGGGGTAGGTAGGGCATTCAGAATCTTCCTTCTTTAAGACTGAGAGGGTTAGGGGAGGCCAAGGTGTGTTCCTATAAACCAAACCCTGGGACTGCACATGGTATGAAGCAAAGGGTGAACTGGGGGCCCTGCACAGATGGGTGTAGCTAGGGGAGGGTCTTTCCCCCACCTTACTCAGCCTTCCCTCTCTTTCCTGCTCTCTGATTCTCCCTCCCTCTCCTAATTTCTTAATTAAAAAAAAAATTTCTAAATTGTGGTAAAATACAAATAACATGAAGTTTACTGTATTATTCTTTTTTCTGCTTTTTAATCAGAGTCTTACTCTGTTGCCCCATCTAGAGTACAATGGCATCAGCACAGCTCACAGCAACCTCAAACTCCTGGGCTGAAGTAGTCCTCCTGCCTCAGCCTCCTGAGTAGCTGGGACTACAAGAGCATGCCACAATGCCTAGCTGACGTTTTTTGTTTTTGGTAGAAACAGGGGCTCACTCTTGCTCAGGCTGGTCTCAAACTCCTTAGTTCAAGCAATCCTCCTACCTCAGCCTCCCGGAGTGCTAGGATTATTACAGGGATGAGCCACCAGGCCTAGACACACCATCTTATTCTTTTTAAGTGCAGAGTTCAATGGTGTTACTCAGTTGTGAATTCACACAGTTGTGCAATCAATCTCCAGAACTCTTTTCTTCTTGCAAAACTGAAACTTTATATCCATTGAACAACAACTCCTATTTCTTCCTGCCCCAGTCCCTGGCAACCCCCATTTTCCTTTCTGTCTCTATGAATATGATTACACACAAAGTGCAATCACAGAGTATTGTCCTTTCATGACTGGTTTATTTCATTAACATAACATTCTCAAAGTAGCATATGTCAGAATTTCCTTCCTTTCTCAAGGCAGAGTAGCAATGCATTGTGTGTCTACACCACACTGCGTCTATCTTTTTATCCCTTGATGGGCACTTGGGTTGCTTCCACCTTTTGGCTACTGTGAACAACACTGCTAGGAACCCGGGTGTACTTACACTCTCTGGATCATGGCCAGCTTTATGGAGAATGAATCGTGGGCGAAGGTAGACACGGACTGCCCCAGTGACACTGAGATTTGAGAAAGGGCACTGCAGAAAAAAAGAAAAAAAAAACTCTGAGCAAAGGTATGACAGAAAGGAGGGCATACAGAATTTGTGTGAAAGGCCTGGTACAGTGGCTCACGCCTGTAGTCTCAGCACTCTGGGAAGCCAGTGCAGGAAGATCACTTGAGCTCAGGAGTTCAACACCAGGCTGAGCAAGAGCAAGAACCTATGTCTACTAAAAATAGAAAACTTAGCCAGGTGTTGTGGCTGGTTTCTATAGTCTCAGCTACTTGGGAGACTGAGGCAGGAGGATGGCTTGGGCCTAGGAGTTTGAAATTGCTGTGAGCAAGGCTAAGGCATGACACTGAAGCAAAAAAAAAAAAAAAAAAAAAAGAA